AAGGATTTTGTGCAAGAAAAAACTGTTTAAAAGTTATCAGTGTATTTCAAAATAATTATAACAATAAATCATTTTTACATTTCAAAATGGAATTTCTATTTTTTTTTATAATGTAGGTGGATATCGCTTTTCTGAAGCTAAGAGACATGTCTCCCTTACTACCGTTCGCGATATTGTAGTTTATTTTATTATAACAACAATAGTCTTTATCTTCAATTTTTCAATTAAGAGACTCATACAGGAAAACTATGTATGTGAATAACTCAATTTTTATTGATACAGGATTATCTTGTAATTTCTGTGTGGTAGATGATTGTGAGTCATTAAAGGGCAAAAACACTTAATCCTATTTTTGGAAATGTACTCTATGAAATAAACACTGTATTGGTGTATACGTTTTATTTAAATATTTGGTTAATTTCCCGCTTCAGTAAGTTGTTTTTGTTAATTTGTGAAATGTAGTTAACGAGCAGTAAAACAAAAAACTGTATCTTATAAATAACATTGCAATATCATAGGGGTCATGTTACATGAATGGAAAAGCGCCTAACGTATAGCATCTATTGTGATGTACCCCAACCCACTTATAATGGCGGTCGGAAGCTAATTTGAAAGCGTGGGGTGATGGTTTATCTTGAATTTACGAGGACTCATGTAAAAGCTTGACTTTTATTCTCTCCAATTTTTCATGTATTAATTCAAATTCAATAAAAACAAATAATCTTTAATTATGTGTGGAGTTTTGCTTGATTTCATCACAGTGTCCACCTTGGATGGCTTTCTTTACTTAGACTAAAGAATATTGGAAGAAATTAACTTTGGTGCCGTTACGTGCTTCAAAATGTCCTTATTCAGTCATTCATTAATGTCCTTAATAGTTTTTATTTATATAATTCAAACATGAGGCATATAAAGCATTTGAAGCAGCGTTTAGGCGACCTACTTTTCATTGTTTGTAAATTACTGAACATGTAATTAGTGCCTTTCGGATGTATCGTGCTATTAATGCAGAATGGATCGATCAAGTGTAATTCATGAAGTTATCAGGAAATTGTTTACATAAATAATTTTTATTTGCATCTGGAGAGCGTTTTTTAAAAATATATTCTACTACTCAGTTGGTACATTAAGTTACGATAATATTTGATATTTAGTAGCTATGTAGCTCTGTTGCGCAGTCAGTTTGGCGCCCTTCGTATTTGTCATAAACGCCTGTTTTAGTCCGCGTAGTGTTTACGACAATGAGACGATGTACCGTGAGTGCAGATCTTGCGTGTTTTAAGCGTTTGCCAGTATTTTTCAAGATCGAAAAAGATGTGATATTAGGTTTCAACCTGAAAGAATTGAAATGAAAAGTTTCCGTTTTCTTATGCAGTGATATGCGTTTGGCTTATTCAGGGGGCTGTCTGAAAGAAAGATCGTTTGTTGAGTTTCATTGGGCGTAGATTAGGTTAAGTTTGATGGGTTACACTAGATGTAAGTGAACCCCGTTTGTCACTTCAAACAGTAATTACGTCCTATAAACATTGTTAGTTTCGGAGCTCCTCTCGGGAACCTGTCTTCATCTCCGCCGTTCACATTTCTTTCTTTTCAGTATATCCGAAATACGTAGGTTTACTGAAATATGACGCGTAAAAATTCTGGTAATAATAGGCTTCTACCTTGAAATCTTAAAAACGTTTGGACTAACTTGGATTTCTTTTTTGGACATGCGTGTCCTCAGTTTCATATATTGAACGTACATGTAAGTTTCTTAATGAACAAAAATATCGTTTTCAGTGCATTCCATTTGGAATACTGAGGTAAAATTATTATGAGAGCAAAAGCCAGTAAGAATTGGGAAAAAGCAAAGAAAAAAACAGTATTAATTGTCAAAAAATAAATTAAGTTCTCAAAAGACGAAAGGGCTTTTCGATTTGCTGAGTTACAGCTCGGTTCAACTTGGTTCATGATCCAAGACAAGTTCCCGTTTGCGAGAGCGACAAGACTATACCATATTAAATAAATTACAAGTCTTACCAGACACGTAAATACAGATAATTTGTTGTTGTTGTTGTTGTTGTTGTTGTTATATCTGCCGTGTTGTAAAGCAAATAGTAATTTAAATATGTTTGGTTTCTTATGTAATGTAAATGGTGTTAAGCACTGCCTGCCCTTTTATCGTGTATTGTTATTGTATATTGCGCTGAAGCAGGCCAAATAAATGGCCGAAACGTTGGCATTGTAAAAAAATGATTTTTATTGACCTACCCTCACGATACTCTACATTACATTTACAACCCGAGCTTTAAATAACTATTTAATATAACTTATATATTGTCATATCCGCGTTCCAATGTTTTAAAATTATTCACACTCACTAAATTTACGTCAAATTTCCCTCGGAATATTTGGTATATCTCAATACACACACTATTACATCTACTGTGTGCACAATACAGTCAAATCCTGTTTTAATGAACGTCCGGGACTAACATATTTGGTTCACTCTATCCGATTATGTCGAAATTAATTTGAATTTCTACATAATGATTGATTTTATTAATATACAGGTAAAGCAAAATACATTAATATTGCAACTGAAAATTTCAATATCTTTATTTTTCCTTAAAAATACTTATTTTAAATTGCGTGCTTCGTTATTTTCATTAGTATTTTTTATAGATCCTTGTCTAGAATTCGTGCTCTCTCTATACTTGATTCTGAATTGTTCACTGACCGTAAGTATCGTCATGCAGTCTTGACAACCTTCAAAACCCCTTCCACTGTTGGAACACCGCCCCACTCTCCGAAAGCCCTTTCACGTGCCTAATAGCACACGACATCTTTTCGGTAGAAGGCTGGCGCCTGACGCTAATGACACTCGCGGTGCGAGGGGATGGGAGGTTTCGTCAGGTTGCGGGGGTGTGGAAGTCGTGCGCCGACTGCTGCCTACGTAGGACACAACGTGCGGATTATAACACCAAGCTTGAAACTGAAGCAAGCAATCGCCCGCCGCCGCCGCCGCCGCCTATTGTAGCCCCTCGTAGGAAACGGGCTTCGCCGTAAGGTCAACTATAAGGACCCCTTTCCCGGTGCGCTACGTACCCCGCAGGGGAGACGTCTTTGATTACGACCTTTGGTCGAAGATGTTTTTTTCTAAGCCGCCTGGTATTGGAATTTGTGTCATTGAGGTGATTAATTTCCAGGACATTGTATTTCCTACGTTCACTATAGCCAAGGTTCAGGTTCACTATAACCGAAACTTCTCTTGCTTATCTGCCATGTAAAGTGAAACGGAAACTGTGACTTAAGTTCATTATAACCGAGGGTTCACTATATCCGAGTTCACTATATCCGGTGACGACTATATATTACATTATACGTATGCATTTTGTATTTGTGGTACCGTTTGTATTTCTATTTTGAAATTCTCTCAGAAGTTTAAAATTTAAGGCATAATCTTTGTGCTCCAGAAAATTTGATATATTTGGAACCTATGTAGTTTTTCCTGTAGGTAAGTTGAATAAGAAGTGTGTTCTTTCGATTAGCTTTAAAATTTAGCCAAGAATCTTTGTAAACAGCTGTTCCTTCATTGGGTGTCAATGTGAAAATTGCTATTAAAAAAGGTAACCAATGAGCACTGATCTCCCTGGGGTTGATATCTTTAAATATGGGAGAGAATAATAATCATTGTTGCAGCAAAAACGCAGGGAGTGTTCTTTCACCCAAGACGACAAATTTTGATTGAAAGGTAAACCTTTTAATGTCAATGTCGCATTTTATTTTTCTATTCATTTTCTTGTGAAGCTTTCAAAAGCTAATATTTAATAAGGTAAAATAATATGAACAAACGTATCAAAATAATTGCAAAGGTTTTAGGAATGTCCCAACAGTGACGTATAACAAGCTGTACTAATATGCCTCATTATTTTATAAGAATTCGTATTATATTAGTTAACAATATATTATATTGAGTAGTATTTGAAGACAATGTACAAAGTCTGAACGACAAATTTGGTCGGGAAATGCACAATTCTGCTCCCACAAGGAGCTGCCCACATCGTGCACCGGTCACTTCCAGCCTGTTGCTCCTTTATGAAAACGCGGTGAAAGTGAACGTGACCTTGTATCTTGAGAAGAGCGAGGCTGGCGCGGGGGTGGAGGAGGAGGTGGAGGGGGGGGCATAGTTTTCCGTCTGTCCGCCACGCCGCGCCGGCTGCGCGTTTTTCTGGGCTCTCTTCCGCCAGCCGCACTGTGGATGTCACTTGCTGTAGTTCGGGACAAACTTGACTGGCTAAAGCCACGCTGAATATAGGGATGCGAAAGTGTACGAATATTCTTTAGCAGCGGTTGTGAATCGACGTATTCACAGTTGATATTCAGATCCAGCATATATTTTTCTCTCAAGGTATTCCTTCTTTCGCGTGCTCATATCTGAAGCGTCTGCTTCGTGAGTTCCAGCGTTCTATTTGGAAAGTATGTCAATTGGGTAGTAGAGCCTCGTACCGGCTTTTCAGAGGTCGAAACATAGGTGATATCTATCTTAGAGAATCTCATGTATTCAATTTTGAATTGCTTTGAGAAACGAAAAAACTCTATTTCGTAGCACTTCCTGCATACGGAAGCAGACAGTGTCTTCGAACATTTTCCTCGAATAAAATATCTATGATTAGTGTTCTTGAAGAGCGTATTGCGCTTATCTTTGTGAACCGAATCATTGAGATGCTATGTTTATTATAAATAGAAAGAAATGTTACCTTCCACGCTAGGCGAAAATTGATAATGGTGTTTGAGACTATGACACATTTATAGTTGTTGCGGATGACCGTTTATCGTGTTAAAGTGGGAATTAGTCGAAATAGCACTGAAACCCATTTCCACCCTCTTCCTACCTACACCTATAACACAGTTTGGGGTCTGTGGTTGAGGGGGTTGCGGTGTAGTTAGCTTTTCCGTCATCGTCATAATTGACATCTTCGCAGGAAAACGTAAGATGTCACGTCTTCGCGTTAAATTACCCTTCAGTTGACCTCCTTGATGTGAAGGCTGTTGTAAGAGGCAGCAGGTGTTGGAGTGAGTGTGGCGGCGATGCGATTGCAGGCGCGGAAGGGCCCGGGTGCGCGGCCCACTGTCCCAGCCGCCCAGCCGCCCGGTCGCCCGGCCGCCTGCCCGCGCGTCCGCCACGGCGCTGCCGGCGCGACCAGCAGAGCGTGACGGCGGCGACGGCGGCGGCCGCGAGCGCTGCTGCATTCCATGGCCGTCACGTGGCGCCGCCGCGCCGGCCGCTTCCAGCTCCCGCCTCCTCCTCCTCCTGCTCCTCCCGGGCCCTCCCCTCGGGCTGCGCCCCGGCGCTGCTTCGCCGGGCCCAGGTGGGCCACGCAGATCGGGTGCCGCACTGGCTGACACCCTTGACGGTACGCCCTTCACTAACCGGCAATCCTCCAAAAGCAACTGACACATATTCCTCTTCGGCAGGCACATTTCGTGATTAATGGGCTGTAGTGCAACGGATCTACTCTTCTACGTAAATCGGAAAATTCGAACATCTTGCATTAGAACTGTTGCTGGTACAAACCTCCGAAAGTGAAAATTAGAAAACATCAAGTTGATTTGAAGTTCTTGCGGCAATGTATCAGCTTCAATTTAAAAAAATACGAACGAAATATATGCGTCCATAAAATTGTTGAATCCTCGAATTCAAGCAATCCTCATTGATATCCCAACAATATACAAAAATTAGAGGAACTGAGTGAATGTCATGCAGGCATTGAATATCACTTCAATTTGTACGGTCTCCGTCAAGGAACCTGCACGGAAGCTACAAATACATTTATTTTTCTTCCTAGTGAAGTTATAAAGTTCGAAAAATATATAAATGTCAACAAAGTCATGAAATTTACAAAGAACGTTCATAATTTCTAAGTACATTATTTTGTTTCCATTGTGCGTAATTTGTTTTGGACAAATGAATTTGAACTCCCGACAAAAGAATTTTGAGACCTCGATAGAGAGTAAGCACTAATGAATTCTTACGAAAGAGGTATTTTCATGAAGTGTTAAGATTTCTTCCAGAAGTGAATCAATATTACCTAGAATTTTGATTTAGCCATTATATTCCATTATTTCCGTCATTTATTGGTTAGTACTTGTCTTTACCTTAGAGTCATACATAATTTGGTGTTCAGGAAGTCGTTAAGTAGCTTACCCTCAGCAACAAGGTTGAGCGTTTTCGCAGAAAGTTTCTTTGGGGTTGTCGGGTTGTGCAATTGAAGTGTTAATGCACAGCGTATCAGTGGGCAAAATCCATTTCACTTTTATCAGAAAAGGGGAGGTAAAGCCAAAGGCAACAGCCTTCTATCGCTGGTTTCCCGGGATAGATCCCCCAGCATTCTATGTGAAATTTGTGATGGACCAAGTTAGCTACCGGCAGGGGTTGCTGTAGGGGTGTTTTTTTTTTTTTAGTTTCTCTCGCTCCACCCTTCTCCATTATCACTATCCTTTACTCGTACAATCATGTCCTCTACTAATTCATCCACTCATCACCACACGAGAGGTAGAAGGACCCCCTAATAGTTAATTTTTAAGGTATTAAAATACTATAAATAACGATTCACTTTCACGAAATTATATTTGTGAAGGGTGATTTTTGTACCTTTGAAATAGTAAATAAATAATAAAGTTTTTTAGAGCAATTTGAAAGCTGACAACGTGACCAAATGAGGCGAAATAAAATGTCATATCCTTCTGTTTCTCTGAACTAAGTGTCCCTATCGTGCAAGAAATCGGAAACATCATAGACTTTTGAGCGTAATAAGATGTGAAGAGCCCCCCAGAGGCAAACGCAACCTGCGTGACGGGCGTGTCTCTCGTACGACGGGGTGCCTATCGTGCGCCTGTGCCGCGAATACCAATCGCGGTCTACATTAATTGGTCCAGACGTTGCAGTTTACTGTATCGTTTATCTCCGCACAGTTAATTAAATACTTTGTAGGAAGATTTTGAAAACAAAATTTACAATATTTCTACCATACTAGGTGATTGGCCTGGTGATCATAACATCTTAGATACTAAGTTCCTGGAATCCGGGTTGCAAAGAAATGTAACACTGCTCTTCTATGACCTCCGTATCTTCGCCATGAATAGACACACACTTACCTCCTTCTCGGATTCAAGTAATTGTAGGATTCAAAAAAGGAAATAGGATTGAAGTAGAAATAATTACCACCATGCGTTTACTTGAATATTTCATTGAGTCCATGCGCAACTCGATCGAAATCTGACAAACACTTCCGGACACCATTGTCTTATCGTACTTCATTTATCCCAGCAAAAAATACACTTTTGAAGGACTTAGGTGGCTCAGGGCATCTACTTTGGTCACTACAGTGCCCATGTCGTGGAGGTTCTAGGGTTAGAGTTGCGACGTGGCAGGATTTTCGACACCATCTAGATTGTTCGGTCGAATTCAGCGACTGTCTGGAGGAGAATTCTAGTGGTCGGCTGGTCCGATCAGTAGTTTTCCATGGATTCTCCGATTAACATCGAGCGAATGTCGGAGCAGTACCTTAAAAAAAGGACCATGGGCCGCGCCCGATCTTTCCTTTCTCATCGTCGTCCTCACTTACATGCACTCTACTAGGGTTCACTATTTCGATTGAACACCACGCGCGTCTGGAGATCAGTCGGGAACTTAGAGCTTTTGGGGCGGTTCCCCGCAGGTGGGAGATACCTGGTTGGGGAAAATCTCGCAAGCTGACGTGTAGTTCGGCGCCGGACCTCGCCACCCAGCAGGGGAAGATCACTGCTCCTCCTCTTAATAAGAAAATGCATTACATCTCCGGGATTAATCCCCATGCCCGGAAATACGAAATAATTAGTCAAACAATCAATCATACTCTTCTGTGTATGGGGTGGAGAATTCGGTACCTGTTAAAGAAATCGCACCCTCTCGTGCTCTCTCGCCCTCTCGCTAGTACAGAGAAAGTTTCGTTCTGCTGCTGCCAATTACGGCAAGTTTTCTTCAGAAAAGGTCGTATTATAAGTTCCCGATACCGAAAATGTGGATAATTTTTGTCCGATTTCGTATTAGTAAATAACTTATTGTAGCACTGTCTTTGTCAGTATCTGCGTTTTGTGAATCCTCGGTACCGTAAAATTAGTGTACGGCAAAATATTTGCTTGTCCGTCCGTCTACCTATCCATCCATCTGTCTGTCCGTCAGTCTGAGCAACGTTAGCGGTTAAACCAGGTAGGATTTTCACCAAAATTGATATTCCACGATAGGTGTGGCCGATGCCACGGCTCCTTCAATTTGAAACGTTTGAAACAGTTCTTTCCACAGGCATAGCCTGTGAGTGAAAGGGACGAGGGTCCCTATAAACAATATTATTTGAAGTGGTACTTAATTTTCTGTAAATAAGTGCCACATATCGATCGTATCACATGCCAAAGGAGTATTACGATTAGATCCGAGAGGGCTACATTCCATGAATGGCTTCCGAAATCTCTGCCTCTGACACATCGGTGTATGTTTCTTCAGAAATATTTCGCCGTGCTTAGTTCGAACGTGCCACTCGTCTTATTAAAGTGTGGAATTGTCTGAACCTCCCACTCACATGTGAATTCGGCAAGTGGGATATTAACTAAAATAACCGTGTCGATCGTTTTAGCAGCAAACCGCACTTCCACCTCACGCACTACTATTCTTGGTGATAAGTCGCGAGAAAAATGCGACATGGCTACGTAGTTAACTTCTATGGTTTCTCGAATGATTAACTGGAAGAGAAGTACTTTTGGGGATATCTCTTTGTTCACTGGTTTCTGTCTACTCAAAACTTCTTTATGGAATTCGATAGTTGATTGATTTCTTATTGGTTTAGGGAATTGATTCGTAATAGTTTATGAAATTTGGTTGCTAATGTTCTTTTGCCATGTCACATCAACTAAAAAATATTGACATTTTTGTCAAAAGTGGCTCATTGTTTTCAATTTGTAATGACTCTAATGATTGAAGTCGCAAAGCAGAGAATTTATTGTCACTTTCATTCATTGACCTCAACTCATCGTGACATCTGGTAATTATTACAGATGCAGTAATGCGATCAGTATTCTAGGCTCTTAACACACAACTTTTACAGTAACGAACTCATTCGTGAATAAACTATGGAAGGGTAGTGTGACAGAAGGGGGAAATTTATTTTCCAAGATGTGAAATTGTACCTGAAAAAATTGTTTCAAGATAACAATGTACGAATAAACACAAACGACGAGATTCTGCGGGATGGGTAGAGACTTTTATGACCGATCCAGATACTGAGTGGTGATATCAAAAAGAGCTATACCTTGAAAGACGTATCAGATGAACCAAAAGTGTTGCATTTTATTGATTATAGTATAAGAATCCAGATTTTAAGGGCCTAGAATGCAGTTCTGTATTTTTGTCTGAAATTTGTTCTTCACAGCCGCTAGGGAGGGGTCAGCTGTAGCACGCTTACTGGGTTTTTGACAATGGCATTTTGTAAATGGTAGAAAACCATATTTTTTGAGCTTATTAAAAGTAATAGTGACTTTAAGGAATCCTCAAAAAGTGGAACACAATTTCCTCCGGAGATGCTTCGGCCGCGAGCGTTTGTCCGGCTTGTGTCCCTCGGGATGGGCACCTGAGGGACGAGCGGCACTTGCGGCCCACCGCCGCTTCGCCTGCGACCGGCCTCGATTCGGCGCGTCCGCTTCAGCTAGCTTTAACTCCCTTCCCCGGGTGTGCGCAGGCGTGTGCGCTGAGGGCAGGGCAGGAGCAGCGGCTCGTCTGTGTACGCTCGCGATATGGAAGGCGCCGAGTCTGAGTAAACAGCCAACTCTACCACATTGTATTTACATGCGCATACCACACATGTGGAGAGACCAGTTAGGATTTTAGGGCAGGTTTCGGCTGGCACGGAGTGCCACTAGGAGAGCTATCTGGAGGGGGAGCTCGCGCAAGATGACGTGTTCGTCGGCGCTGGATTTGCGTTCCAGTGCGGGGGGGGGGGGAAAATTTTTTCGCGACTCTATGTGCAAATGGAAGCGTCGAAATGATAGTTCTTCTCTTCGTCTTCTGACAATAATGAAGAAACGCTTCTTCCACAGAAATAAAAGATTATCCAACCGCACGACCTACTCGTTAGTAATAAAAACTATTGCTCCAGATAAACATCACAGCTCTCAAGAAAGAAACGTATAACAGGCAAAAGGAATTCTTTTGGAATGTAGGAACTTATAAAATGTCATTTCTGACTTTTGTACAGGGGCAAGGGTACGTCGCCTTTTTATTTTCTGAAGAACTAAACAAGCAACATTTACAAACACGAAAGATGAAAAAATGCAATACTTCATTGAAAAACACTACTTTACTTTTCAACATATCAAAAATTTGAAAATCGGCTCTTAAACTTTAACATAAACCGTAAAAAGTAAAGAGACAAAAATACCGGATACTGATTTGT